TTATTTTTCATACTAATCATTATTATTTCAAAAAATTAGATTTGATTTGTCAACATTTAAAAATATTTTGTGAATATTTAAAAGTTTAATGTAGGAATTTTTTATTGATAAAATTAACAATATTGGAGTTAAATAACAAAAAAGATACTTTGTAAAATTAAGAAATCAAAATTAAACCTTGTATCAAATTTAAAGACTAAATATGTACTTTAACCTATATATTTTTAAACTTCTCATATAATTTATTTATATATTATTTTAATTTATATTTATATTTAGCAAAAAATTTTCCCCCTCTAATAAATTTTTAATTTGATATTAAGACTTGTAAATGTTGATCATAAGTAACTTTATTTTTCAACTTATAAAAAGTCATTTTAAACATCATTTACATGAAAATATTAATTAAATATTTAAAACATATTTTTTTATTTTCTTATTTAAGTATATAAATATTAGTCATCAATCGATATCATCAAAATATCAATATCAATATCAATATCCCGTTCATTAAAAATATATACAACTTATAAATTTGTGAAGCTGATTTTTCGTTTTCAGTATTTAGTTATTTTCTCAATCCATTTACAGCATAGTTGAGATATGAGAGCCATCTGACTATTTAAAAAAAAAAACAAAAGAAAAAAGATATGAGAACCAACTTGTTGAAAGAATGTACATTGCATTATTACATTCCCATGAACATGACTGAACGAGGACGAAATCAATAAATGAGATGAATTATTACATTCGATTATGATTGAGCGAATTAAATAAATGATGAATATGAAATTACCTTATCATCAAATCCAATAATTCTAAATATCTTTTCTTTCCCAAAAAGAAATTCTAAATATCTAATGCAAGTTGATATGCTCCATGCATATGTCTTTGGACTGTCATGTGTCTAATATAACTTAAAAGCACAACTTTTTATTATTATTTTTTTTACCAACGCAACCTTTTATTAATTAAATACGATCAGATTTGATTCACTCAATCTTTGGACCGATCCTAACCACTTAATTTTTTAGGTTAATTTCAGCTTATTTCTCACACAAAAGCTTCATGATTTTTTGTTTTTCAACATGAGTTCATTTTTTCATAAAATCAATATAAACATTGAATGGTTCATATGGGTCAATAACATTTTATACAACCTTTCACTTTTTAGTTCCATATATATATATATATATATATATATATATATTATCCACTTGCTTGTATTAAGGTTGTGTTTTGTCTTGCCCATTACAGTTAGCTTTATCCTCCACGAGAATAATGTCAATAAGAGTCGAGATGGGGTAAACAAACACAAAATATATACAGAATTTGGGTCAGGACATTTTGTTAGGTTGTATAAATATAAATGAACTTGAACTTATATGAGAAGTATATCAAATATAATTAAATTTAATAACTAATATATATAATAAACTAGAATGACTGTAAAATTAATTTTTGAAATTTTAAAATTAAGATACTCTTTATCCATTTATTTTTTCCTATTTCCGAGCAGTTTCATTCTTAACAAACATTTTTTCCTCTTTCTATACTTCTAATAACCTCCAAAAAAAAAAAAGGAATAATATGCGCTGGAATTTCCATCAATTCCAATTTTACTATGACGTGTCCTGGCCAAAAGCAATCTCAATCCAGTCTCATACGCTGAAAACCAGTGACTCGTATTCCTTCTGGACTTTCATATATATCATTCTTGTTTACTTGTTTTCACAGGAAAAAAATCCATACCAATGAGAAAACAAAATGCATTTATATACTTCTTTGATTTTATTTATAAAATATTTTATTATTTTTTATATTAATTTTTATCCTTTTATTCTTATTAGATGTTGAAAAATTATTAAAAATAATTATTTTGGTCATCATTGGACAATAGAGATGAAAAATTATTAAATTTTAACATAAAGGTAATAAAATTTAAATTTTTTTATATTTATGAAATATATTAAAAGAGACTTACAAATCGAATCACATTTACGGGAAGTATCATGTAGTAATTTATTTATTTTTTTTAATTTTAGCATCCATTCAATGTCATATTATTTTAAATTTTAACTACCTCCCTTTAATTATAGAGTACCAGAGTATTGGGAAGAAAATTCAAAATCGTAAATGCAAATGAAGGGGATGGTATGACCTGTAAAGTTGTGAATATGTAGTTTGGTCAATTTTTGGTGATCTCTGTGATTCTCCGCACGCCAACCTTTACGCGTAACCTTTCACTCCACACCACATCCTTCATTCTCAATCTCATCCTTCACGGTTTGCCCAGCCTTTATTAACTATTCCACCACATGTCAATTTGACATTCATTATCATTCACTTGACCCCAAAAATAAACTACTAATTAATTAACACGTGGTATGAAATTTTTTCAGTTTGACCCCCAATTCTTTTCAACATGAATGCACCAACAAGTTTTTGTTACGATAAGACTTGGACATACCCACGCAGGGGCAGAGATAAGAGGGGAACAACAAAAGCCATGGCCTCTCATAATATTTTAATTTTGTTTACTAAAATATAAGAGTTATATTTTTTCAATCCTCATGAGTTAACATATTATATAAATTTTGAAACACTAAATAGAATTCTTATTTTAATTATTTAGTAGTTTTTATACATCTATAATCCAACTGTTTCAGTAATTTAAAGATATAACTATCATAAAATTAATTTATATTGTCAACAAGATAATGTTATAATTGTAGTTAAAGCATTGATATTATTTAATTTTGCTTTCATTTTATATTTAATTAAAGAAATTATAAGAGTTATTATTAGCAAATTTTGTCAAGGATTGTAACAAAAATTTTGAAATATATTCAATGTCACATTTTTTATATCTATCGTAAAATTACTTATCTAAAAGTTAAAAGTTATGGTTAAAAGATTTTTTTTAGAAAAAAATTATTATTTTTTTGCAATAATCAAGCTATTGAAATTTGTTATATAAATAATTTTTACTGTGAAATATTTAGATCTCATCAACATAAAAAAATCTGTAACAATTGAGCATTGTTACTTTGTTGATATAGAATTTTTTAAATTAAACATAACTTTAAATTTTAATGATATATTTAAATTATTTATTTTTATATATGTATATATATATATATGTAAAATTGAATATAAATATATATGTTGACATATTTATGTTATGTTAGTAATATATATAAATTTAATTTTCTTTTGATTATCATATATCCTTGTCATCTCGGCCCTCCTTACTAAAATTTTCTAACTCCGCCTCTACTCTTACATAATTTTTTGTGTGCACGAGAATAAATAATAATGACAGTAACAATAAATAGTGAAGCAATATAATGAGACCCGTATGATCGTAAGTAATCATGTTTGTGAGGTGCATTCGAAGCTATGGTTATCTTTTTTTGATCCCATAATGAACGTTTGATAAATAAATAGAATGAACGACGTGTTCGAATGAACTTTTTGCAACCGTAGTTTTAATTTTAATTCAATTTGGATTAATGTATATTTTTAATCTTTTAATTTTATATAAATTTTTAATTTAATTCTTTAATTTTATAAAATATATTTCCTGTCCTATAACCCTAACACTACTAATTGAATCATTATTATTTTTAAAAAATTAAATTTAAAATGTTAATATTTGAAAATGTCTTGTTAGTATTTAAAAATTTTAATATAATTTTTTTGTTATATATAAAACTAATGGTGTTAGAATTGAAGAACCGAAAATACACTCTATAAAATTAAAGGATTAAAATAAAACTTTGTATTAAGTTAAAATATTAAATGTACGCTTTAGCCATAAATTTATTAATTATTAAAAATTATTAACTAATTAATTGATTGTGGTCTTAAAGGAAATTATCTCAAATAGAATTAACGATCTTTTAATATAACAAGCTATAAAAAAATAAACTTCTTTGTTGCTCCTAGCTGTAATATTTTAAATATGTCCCTATATAATAAATTTAAAAAGTAATATTATATTATTTTCTCTCTCTCATAAAGAATAATTTTAAAAATATTTTTTAAATATTATATAAAAAGTCACACTGTAACTTATAAATAAAATTAAATAAATATTTTAAAATTTATCTTATAAATGAAATTAGGGAGACCGATAGAGTATCCAATATGCCACAGAATTTCCTGCAGATCAAGGGAAAAGTTGAGTTCAATCTTTTAATTTGCATGAAATTAAAAAATAAACCTCATATTTAATAATTTATTAATGGTCTAGTTAATTTATTGTAATTTTATAGTTACAATTATTGCACGAGACATGTTTAGAAAGTGATGTGGAAATAAAAGAAATAATTAAGAGACAGAAAAATAATATACGAGCTTATAAACATAATTGGCAAGGGTCTTGCCTTATATGTTACATCAAATTCAAAAAAAAAATCTACTATTTAATGTTACAGATATATATTTTTATATTAGTAGAAATTTAATGTTGTAATTCTACTATGTCATTTACTAGAATTTTTATATTACATATAAATATATATTTATTTGGCCTATTTTTTCAAGAAATTAAATTCATGTATGAGAAGAATTTAATTTGAAAATTTTGCAGATACTTTCCCCAAAATCTTCACATCCCAATCATGAAATTGAAATATTGGTTCGCTTTTTTTTTTTTGTTTTTTGTTTTTGGAGATCAGAAATGAAACATGAGTTCTCAATCTGAAGAATCAAGCTCCCGACTTCACTCACAGCCTCACAAGTAGTTTGCAATTAAAAAAATAAAATCTATGATGACGTGACCGGCCCCACGCCAGAAGACTATCCGACAAAGATGATCCCCTTCCTACTCAGCAACGTGTGATTGACGTGTCAGAGAAATCCAAACCTGGCAGGTTTGAAAAGTTCATGATATCTACGTGGCAGCCTTTACAGCATCTCCTTCCTCCGCAATTTCCTCCGTAGCTTTCTATAAATAGAGCTTACTTGAATCGCTCCTCTCACTGGTCGTCCGTCATCTTCTGCTTCTTCTTCCAATTTTCTCGCTTCCTTAATCTTCTCAGTTCACTTGAAACGTCTAGAGAGCATTTTCCTTCTCGATCTCGCTAGTTTCTCGAGAAAACTAACATGAAGGAAAGTTCAGGAAACCCTCTTCATCTCAAGTCCGTCAACCACATCTCCCTCATCTGTGGATCAGTGGAAGAATCCATAAACTTCTACCAGAATGTTCTCGGCTTCTTCCCTGTCAGGAGACCTGGCTCGTTCGATTTCCACGGCGCCTGGTATTAATTTTAGCGACGGAAACGTAAACGAATTGCTTTTAATTTCTTACATTCTCTCTGTTTGATGATGACGGTGGTGGTGAACTGTGTATGTATGCACAGGCTGTTCGGGTACGGAATCGGAATTCATTTGCTGCAAGCAGAAGACCCAAAGAATCTGCCCAAGAAGACTGTAATTAACCCTAAGGACAATCACATATCCTTTCAGGTGATCAGATTTTCATACTGAATGACTATATATATATATATATAAAGGCGTTTAGTGATGATTCTGATGAGTTGTGTTTGGCAGTGTGAGAGCATGGGGGCAGTGGAGAAGAAGCTGAGGGAGATGGAGATCGCGTACGTGAGGTCCGTGGTAGAGGAAGGTGGGGTTCAAGTGGATCAGCTGTTTTTTCACGACCCAGATGGGTTCATGATAGAGATATGTAACTGTGATAGTCTTCCTATGATCCCATTGGCTGGTGAGGTCGCCAGATCATGCTCTCAGCTCAACCTTCAGATGTTGCAGCAGCAGCAGATTCAGCAGGTGGTCCTGCCTTAAGAACACTATCATCGATCCAGCCGTATCGGATTTGAAATCTCTCAGATATCAACAATATAATGGCACGATTATGAATTCCGAGAAGAGAAAGAGACATATTCATGGTAATCAATACAGTTGATTAATGAGATCATGTTTGGAAGTATTCAAATCAATGACATGGAGTCGTATGTACGTCGAAATAATTCAATTGATCGCCTGGAAGAGGAACTATACGACACTTGTTTTGTTCTTTTGCTCTACTTTGGCAAGCCGATCTCCTTTTAATTAATTAAGTGGCTTTGTTTTTCGTGTTTAGGTTGGTTTTGATTTGTGAATAATTATTGCACTGTTTCCCAATCGATGATCTGTTAGTTTTCTGATTGGTAATGTTGTTTTGTACCATTTGGTGGATTTAGATTTAGTCACTACCCTAGTGCAAACACTGATTATTTATACCATCTAAAATTGGTTCATTGAAATTCAAACCAACAATCCAAACAAACTCATCATTTATGTGGAGTATGAATTTAAAATTATTGATTTAAATTTTAATAATATAGACAGTCACCGATTTAAATTTTCATTAGTCTTGATAGAGTAGTATCTTTCACTTGATGATCATCCTTCTATTTGTTATCCTTGCTTAATCAAGTCGACCATTTGCCGCTTTTATTGTCATGTATACGTGTCCTGCGAACCAGGGTGGAGAGAGGGAGCTAACAGAAGACACGACTCTCCCAAATTTTTAATTTTTTTAATATTTAAAATAGCTTTCTGTTTTTACGTTTGTAAAATAAATAAATAATTATACAGAATAGTTTAAAATTTTTTTTTGAATCATTAGTTTGAAAAACATACCAAATTAATTAGTAAAATAAAAATATTGAACTAATGATAATTATGTTTTTGACAAAAAATTTTAAAAATAGTTTTGCACAAATTCTAATTCAGACAAATGCAAATAAAAATTTCAGTTAAAATATGAGGATTATATTTAAAATTTAAATACTTTACCTACAATTGAAACTTTGAAATTTACATATTGATATCTTCATCTCAATTTTTTTAGAAAAATTTGTTGAAAGAATGTAACTATATATATTATTAATTTTTTTTTTCTAATAGAAACCTGATTGTTATTTTTCCTAAAATATATTATAATATTTTAGGAATAAATTGAATGACCCAGATAATAATATGGAATCAATATTCCCCTCCATTAGAACCAACCGACCAAGATCCTATATGCTAGTATTTTATTAAACAAACTACCCCACAGCAGAAAAAGCAAGGAAAAAGAATCTTAACTCACGAAGCCCAGCCAACAACAGACCTTTTTCGCCAAAAGTTGAGTCTAGTTTGGACCAGGCTAGCCATCAAAGAATTTACACATAAAAAAGGACTAAAATTAATAATTTTGATTTCAGCTTGATCCGAAATTAAATTTACTTTTCATATGTTAATGTTATGGTTAACCTTATTATTAATTGGACAGCTTTACGCATGCGAATCACTTAACTCAATCTCCATTTATACATGTGCGAAAAGCTAAGCCAGGATAAATTAAAATACAAGAACAAATTAATTAGATCATAAAAGATTAAATTAATGATAATTATGTCTTTGACAGAATTTTTAAAACATAGTTTTGCATAAATACTAATTCAGACAAACACAAATAAAAATTTCAGTTAAAATATGAGGATTATATTTAAAATTTAAATACTTTATCTGCAATTGAAACTTTAAAATTTACATGTTGATATTTTCAACTCAATTTTTTTAGAAAATTTTGTTGCAATAATCTATATATATATATATATATAATTAGTTTAATCTTCTAATAGAAACCTGATTGTTATTCTTTCTAAAATATCTTATAATATTTTGTGAGAGTTTTAAATAAAAATAAATGTGAGGTGTGTGACATGTGAACGGAAATCACTATATAATGACATGCATGATTCGTTTATTGAGTTGGAAAGTACAGATTTTGATGATGCCCTAGTTCGATCGGGAGGCAGAGACAACGACCTTTTGCTCTTGGCATACTAAAATTTAGCCGCATGCCAACAACGTGCCCTTTTTTTTTGGGTTACAAGTCTGGTCGAATGCGTCAGTATATATTAAGCAAGTAGTGGTACGATGTAGTCTGTCTTAACAAGTCATTTACTTTTTTAATCTTCATAATTAGTATGAGAGGGACTGAGAGATGCCAATTAAAAAGAAATAGAAAGCCAATAATCTTTAATTCAAGTGGCACCCAGGCATCATTACGATGCTCACACCACGGGTTCGTCGAGCTGTGCCTACACATGTTTTAGTGTTTGACAAATCAAAAATTAAAAGTTAACTTTGACAGTTATTTAATTAAAAAATAACTTTAAAAATTACATAAAATAACCAAAAAATTTTGGCTGTTTTATGTAATTTTTTGGGGTTCTTGTTGTATTTTTTAAATCATTTTCTATAATTTTTTTTGTATTTTTTATTATTTTTGGGTTAATTAATGATTTAAATTAATTTTTATTAATAATAAAAGTTACATTGCAATATTTTTAAAGATTAAAAGAGAACATTATATAAAAGATGAGTTTTATAATTCAAAACGGCTCTTGAACTACAAAGATAACTGGATGCTTCCTGTCATTATATTGCCCTTTGGCCCTATATACAGTGATAACTGGATGCTTACTGTCATTATATTACTCTGAATTATGCTGGAGCATGAATAAAATGGAGAGAACAAAACTACAAAGACAAGTAGATAACAAATAATAATACTTAAAATACGGATTTAGATTAATTAAAAGATGGCAATACAGTCTTTTAATTTCTAACACACAACTAAAAGCCAAGTCTTCTAGTTAACCAGGATCAAATCCGTGAGAAGCTGACACGTGGTGGCCCTTGCTTTTCACGAAGACAGGTAGATAAATGGAGGTGGGTAGGGCGTAAGAAAAGGGGGAGAATGACAAGCATCTTATAAAAATATTAACGTAAATCTTTAATATTGAAATACGATAAAAAAATATTGAAATTTAAAAATATTAATGTTAAAAATTTTAATTCAATATTAATATTTTTATTAGATTCTTATGTGTCATTCTCTTCTAAAAAAAGCTAGAGGCATCTGGTGAGCATCTGGTGGTAATTCTCGATGGAGTGAAGCCTCTGAAGCAAGAGCTGTTGCCTGAAGTTGTTGATGAAAGCTTCTGCACTTTCGTCAACTGTTGTCTTAACGTCGTCGTCCTCTCTAGCACCTCCAACTGCTTCTTTCCTCCTCCTTCTTTAATTTATTTGACGACCACGACGACGCCGTTTTTTCTTCTCTTTCTTCTTCCTTCTTTGATGACGATCTCTTCTCTTTCAAATCCATTATATTGTTATCGTTCATATTTTGATGATCTGATCTTCTGATCTTCAATTTCAAGCCTTATAACCGGTGCTTGATATAATTGATATACGATTAGTGTGGTTGATCACCCGCATATATAAAACATGACAAGGGATCGAACAAGTGGCACGTGGCCTTCATTAATTTGCGCCATCTCTTTTGTGTGAAAACACGGTGACAACTCACAACCATGGCAAGCTGGAGGTGTTCAAGGTTCCAAGATTGGCGCCAAAAACATGTTGTTGTTTTAATAAAAAGGTATATTCGATTAAATATGGCATTATTATAAAACAGTTGTCCATCGCATCTTGCCGAATGCCGACTATGGAGTTGCGTTGCAAAGTCAACAATAAGAGGCATATCAATGTGACATAATTATTTGAGCATGGAAACCCATCTCGCGGCTTAACGATTGCACATTGCACGCAAAATGCGCTCCCCTTCTCCCTCAAAACATGAAAATTTAGGTGAGTTTTTATAGCATTTGAGCATACATTTAACTTCAAAGAATGCTTAAAAAATATTTATAAATTGTTTATTAACAAGGTCCTGTTATATATTAGCAATAAAATTTGACCCCATTATCTTATTAATTGTGAATTAAATCTTTATAAATTGAGCCAAATTTTGTTAGTAATAAAATGCCAACTCTTGCCGCTCATCTCATTACGGTTTTGTTTAACTTTATTTGTTGATTTATATATCAATGAATTTGAATAGACTATACATAGATACACATAAGTATATATTGTTTGCAGCCTGAGAAAATAAATATGGGTATGATGAATTATGCCCTTCCATGGCATTAAATGCAAATCAGAAATATGGGAGGCACTATTTATATATATAAATGCATTAGGTCCCTGGTTCATGGATCTGGGTTGTTAAGGAGCTGTAGAGTATTAATAATTTTAAGTTAGAGATGGTATTTTAATTTTGATATTTTCAATTATTTTAATATAATTTAAATGCTTAAAAAGATAATCATGGTTTTGGGAAACTTTTTTTTTTTTTGTATGGTTGATTACATCTATCCTCTTTTTAAAGATGATTTTGTTTGAAATAAGGTTGAATACTAAATATTGACATATTTTTTTATAAGAATTTAAATTTTAATTTGTTATATTATAAAAAAAAATTTCAATTCGTTTGGACATAACTTTTAGGAGACATGCCTCCCATTGAAAATTTTAATCAATGTTACTCAAAATTTCAACTTGAGATTTCTAATTAAATCAAGTAAATCTTTTACAAGTTGATCATATACCTGGTGGTGCGTACACACAGTTGTCATCACCATTGAAAATAGAAAGAATGACATATAGGTCTCAAAAATATTAATTAATTTAAATTAGATCTTAAGTATTAAATTTTAAAAATTTACAATTCAATTTTTTAATTTTACAATTGTATTATGATAAATTTATAACTTTTATTTTAAATTTTAACAAGAAAAATAATTTTTTTATTCTTTAACTATATTAAAATTTAAAAAATAAATTAATAATTCATCACAATATAATTATAATATTAAAAAAATAAATCACAAACTTTTAAAATTTGAGACTTGTTTTAATTTAAATTAATTAATTTTTTTAAAATCTCTTTATCATCTTTCCGAAAATATAAAACACATCTCGGGTTTGTCAGTTGTGGCCTGTCCGTCGCATCGTTCTGCTGTCACTTTTGTTGAGAGTGACTTGGATTTTATCTAACGCCAGTGGGAGGTCTTATTCGTATATATATTAAGTTCATTTAATGGATGGATACATGTCAAAGAAAATGAATAATATTTTGAATACGATTCATTTTAGCCTAAAATAATGTCACGAATTAGCAATTATATGTCAATTAACGAGATGAAAAAGGACAAAAGAGAAAAGGCAGCTTGATTTATATCTAAATTGATTTTTTAATCTGATTCTATTTTCTTTCACTTTTCTAAGTTCAAACATGTTAATCAATTCAATATATTTTATTTTATTTTTTTAAAAAGTCTAACAGAGCTCTACATGTAGACTTTATTCTAAAAAAAAAGTGGCCACCTTATTGATATTGTTTTATCTTTGTTTTTATGTTTTGCAATTTTTTTTTATAAGATGTAAGATTGGTCAATGAGACATAAAAATATTATATTTTTTAATAATTAAAAAAGTAAAATAATTGGACAATAATTGATATAAGTTTTTGTTTTGTTGCAATCCCTTGAAAACACACACAGGCCCTGAGGGAAATCATCATCCAATATGGGTTTCATTTCTGAAGATCTAGTGGGCCAAAGCTTGTATGCATAAGCCCAAAATAAAATTTGAGACTCGTGTCATGTAAAGCATACACAATGGCATAGTTGTAATATCATAAATTTAGATTATGAGCTGCACTTTAAACGTATCAAGTCACATTTTTTTTCTGTAACTTATGAATTTTACAACTTATAAACTCTATGCATGTGTTTGAAAATTCATTAATCTTGATGTTTTGAAACAAAAGGAAATCTATGCAGCTTTCTATGTAAAGCATAACTTGTGCGATTGTGTGAGAGAGACATTCCCCCTTTGCTATTAGCGACTTTTTCAAATTTGATGAAAAAATTGGTCAGTAGTTTTTACAGTTATAGATTTGCAAAATCTGCAAAGCAAACAAATCCATGAATTGGCATTTTTTAGTTTCTCTTGCACACATGCTCTTGTGACTTTTGAGCCTGAGTTCGAGAGTAAGAAAAACCATATTTTTAAAATTTTAAAACTAATCTATTACCCCCTACATTTATTATTGTTGTTGTTGTTATTACTAGACTAGGAGTATCCTCCCCTAAACCGGATTAAGTTTTTACTTGTGATTAGTACTAATTTTTCTTGTAAATAAGAGAAAAATTAATTTTAGTCCTTGGTTTTTTTTTGTTAATTTGAAATTTATGCCTCCATATACATAACTCTAAACTCGTCAACCAATCTTCCTTGGAATATGAAAAATAAACTAATAAAAAAAAGAGATATGATAAATAATTAGACTTGCTCTATATATAAGATAAAAAAAATAGAAGAAAACAAATTTCCCACCACTTATTGAAAGAAAGTAAATTGTTATTCTAGAACATAATATAAGTTATTATTAATTAATTTACATTTTTAAAAAATTGATTAAAATGTTAATTTTCTATAAGATTTTATATCTTTCCAATGTAACTTTTGATGCAATTTTTTAATCAACATGCTTAATTTCATCTACACATGTATACTTCACAATTCACATTCAAAAAGTTCTCAACCATTTCTATAATTTGTAATGAATCATGGTTTACTTGATTCACCCATATTTTTTAACAAATTAATTTTTACCCACTTTATATATTTTCTGAAAACATCAAAATTACACTCACACATATAACACATTTTCATAATTTTCATAACATCAAAAATACTTAAAACATAAATATAAAGAAATTTAAATTTACAGTTACCTCCATCCATTATGTCACTCAAAAGGAGTGTCAATAGATTTAATTTGATTCTAAGTTTTTAAATGCTCTAAGAGTTCAAGAAAAATTTAATATTAAAAAAATTCTCCTCCCATTAATACTATGCTTGCACAACTCTAATCTCTCCTCCCCCTTCTCTCTGGATGCTGAAAATATTTGGAAGCTTGATAAGTTATCACCTAATATAGTATCAAGTGAAGAATTAGGTGAAACACATCTGCAACCTAACCTCCTTTTTTTTTTTTAATTACAAACTTTTCTTAAATTATGTTAAAAAATAATTATTTTTTTTCATGCCACATGCCATATGAATTATATTAATATAATAATTAATTAATAAAATAATAATTAATTAATGATAGAGAATTTTGAAAAATAAAATTAAATATACATTGAAAGGTGAAGGAATCGCATGTAACTAACGTTGCAATGGAGAAAGAGCAGAGAAAGCCCTAGGAGACATTGAATACGAAATCGCAATTTGCAGAAATCAAGTCAGAACCGAGAAAGCCCATGGAGGCACTCCACCGTATATCTCTTCGTCTCCTTCCTATATCACTAGCCGAAAGGTGCCTCCTAACTGCTTCAACGACCACGACATTGCCCCCTGCTCGAATATCACTATTCAAGGCTCGTAATTCACTGTTCAATGGGAACCTCACTGCCTCAAAATCTTTCAGCTCGGGATCTCCTAGTGGGGTGGCCAAAGCAGGATGGTTTCTGGGTCTTGGAGATGATAAAAAAATGAGCTTGCCTGACATTGTCAAAGCCGGCGATCCGGTTCTGCATGAACCTGCCCAAGCAGTTAATCCTAACGAAATAAGCTCGGAGAGGATTCAGAAGATTATCGATGATATGATAAAGGTCATGAGAAAGGCTCCCGGGGTTGGCCTTGCTGCTCCACAGATTGGAATTCCCTTGAGGGTCAGTCAAAATTTTGATAACTTAATTTTCTTGAATTGGTACTGCCTGGTGAAATCTGAACTCTTAGCTCATTTGCTCTGAGTGGCACATTGTAACCGTTTCATGAGGAAGAAAACAGCTATGAAAATGAATTTTGTGTAAAATATGGTTCTTTGGTCATGTACTTATCTTCTGAGCACAAGTGATGTCATAATGTTTCCATTAATAGTGGACGGTCTAGGTGGTTCTCCTTGGTTGCTTTTCATCTTTTGTTTCTTGATTTGGGACTTAAAGCGAACCTCTTAGTGGTTATTTGTTGAATTTTGTAAATTGAACTCACCGTCTTTAGGTGTCAATGTACCATATGAATATATTACACACAGAAATACCTGGAGACGGGCGGACAAAATGTTGTGTTACTTGTTTCTTAAAGTGAAGGAGGAAAATTTCTCTCAATATAACTGTCTTTTCGTAAATATGATTTCTGAGCAGTGGAGGAATCCATAGGTGACTAAATGTTTATTGCTTAACAATATGCTGAAGATTTAAAGTGTTGCAATTTATAATAGCATGTTGCTATGAGCATAACTGAGCAATATGCTGAAACAATAATAATAAATGTGTATTGTCTATTTGTGTATGCAGATAATTGTTTTGGAGGATACAAAAGAATATATTAGTTTTGCTCCAAAGGAAGAGATAAAAGCTCAAGATAGGCGACCCTTTGATCTTTTGGTATGTCCATCTCACAAAAGAGGAAATCTTTATTATAAAATCTGTAGTTTTTTCCTTAAGGTCTGTTATCTTGAAATACAAATTCATTAGTTATGTTGAGGCAGGCTATCATAAATCCAAAGCTAGAGAAGAGAAGCAACAGGACTGCCCTATTTTTTGAAGGGTGCTTGAGGTAACATTCTCATTATATTCTAAAGGATTATAATTTTTTTTCTGCTTCCATAGTTGCTATGCCACACTACCAATTAACTCTTTTTTGCACATGGTACAATGCAGTAGCTGAGATCAAGTCAGGCTAGAAATATAGGCTCATGCACACCTTTTATTTCTCTTCAAAATGAAACATTTAATATCCGTGCATAAATCTATTATACATGAACATTTAAATGAACTGTCAAGACCGTTGATGATGTGTTGTTCTTTCATAAGTAATGGCCAGAGCTTTCATTTAAGAATTTGCTTCATAGTTGATGTGGTGGGAAATGATAATTGTTCTTAATCAGCATTCACCTCAAAATGCTGATTTTTTTTTTTTTGGTTGGCTCTGATAGTTTGTGCAGCTAATGGATTTTATATATACACCCTTGATATAAAGTAATTCAAATGCCTCTTTGAAGTGAGAAAAGAAAAAAAAAAAACTAGTAAAAGAAAGAGATAGTAGAGGTTAATAGACAGCAGTATATCTGGGTGAATCAAAGAAGAACCTTTTGGGTTAAAGGAGCAATTGATCAAACCACCCCCCCCAAAAAAAAAAAAAAAAAATCCAATTCCATAAAAAATTTATAAACTAGTAAATTTGGAGTGTAGATTTGCTTGTGCCCTTAATTTTGTTGCAATTTGATACATTTCCTGGTCTAACTCCAGTTCAAGGAAATATCAAATGCTGATTTCTTCCTCAAACAACCCAATTATTGAACATATTCATTATTTTTGTAAAAATGCATTGTAGAATTTTTAACGGTGTAAGCAAGTAAAGGATGATTATCTGCATATGCTCTAATGATTTCAAGACATCGGGATCTTAAGAACATTCTAATCACTAAATTCAATCTCATGCATGCGCAAGTTTTGCTTTAATGTGTTTTGAATTTTTGGTGCCCAATATCTATATGCTTTGGCGCAAACTAATGTTTAAGAATTTTTTAATTTTGATTTATCAATTTGAAGAGCAAACATGGTCACAATCTAGGTTCATAGATACGGGTACAAGTATCCGATACGATACGGCATGATATGGGGATACGGAAAATTTTCAAAAATTTAGGATACGGGTACGGGAATATTTATAATATATATTTTAACATTTTGTGATATAAGTGTAGGTATTTTGATTTTTAAACAAAAATTTCTAAAGTAATATAAATATATTTATAGTAATTAACTAAAATATTAAGTGTTTTTTTAAGTTTTTAAGTAATATAGTAAAAAAGTATTGAAAAAAAATCATATCACAAATGTTAGAATATGAGATATGTATGCAGAAGTATCTTACAAATATCGTATCAGATACGTATCGAATACAGGTATGTTTACTTTTTTGAAGTATCCATGCTACATAGGTCACAATTAGTCGTAGGGGATTTGCAATTGCAGCATGGTGGGATCATTAGATACTGCCTAGTGGGTGATGGTTCCTCTTAAGTTCAATTTAGTTGCAATCTGATAGAGATAAAAAAGACTTGACTGCCAGTTTCTCATTATAGTAATGGCAGTAGCTTTACGGGCAATAATTCTAGCCTGTGTAGTGCTTTGCGTTTGATGTGGCAATGAGGTGTGCAACAACATATATTCATCATTATCCAGGGCTATTAACATCTTCCTCCCTACTGTTATTCTGCAGTGTCGAGGGATTCAGAGCTGTGGTGGAGCGATACCTTGATGTTGAGGTTACAGGCCTGGATCGTAATGGTGAACTCATCAAAATAAATGCTTCTGGTTGGCAGGCTCGAATATTACAGCATGAGTGTGATCATCTTGACGGAATCCTCTATGTCGATAAAATGGTACCCAGAACTTTTAGAACGGTAGAAAACTTGGGCTTACCTCTGGCCCAGGGCTGCCCCAAACTTGGACCCCACTGACCCCTGGTTTTGATGCTGCTGCTGCATTTACTAGATTATCAATGCATTTTTCTTATGCATGTTAGTGAGGATTTTAAATTATGTGGGTCTAAACTGGAGCCTGTCATCTAGATGATTGAATGTTGTCTCAATTAATTTGAGCATATGGGGAAAGCCAATAAGTTTTGTTGTATTATGTTCCTATAGCGACTTTTTTTTCTCCATAATGTTATCTTTTCCAATCAAATTCACTTTAGTTAAGTGTCAATGTTAAAGCTCGTTGAAATTGCAGTCTCAGAGGCACTTGAAATGGTTGAGCAACGTTCGCATATGTGCTACTTTGGAGATCCTAATTTCCAATCCTGTTAAAAACAAGTAATGAATAGGTCGCCCTCTCTGCGTGGCTGCTAGTAAAGCAAATGTGCAGATGATTTTACATTGATCTGTGATCTCGGGTTAGTGGGTTGTCTTGTCTTTTGGGCGTGTCTTCTTCGTACAGTATTTTCAATAAACTTGTGTGCTTCAGCTAACTTGTAAATTTTGGCTCTTATTTGAACAGAATTTTAAGTATATCAGACACATTTTTAATAAAAAGATTTACCTTTACCACATTTATAAATTTATTTGTAATTAGTAATGAGCTAAGTTTACTGGGGAAGCCTAAGAATCCTTGACCACACAAGAGGAAGAATTAAATAACACCTGGACAGTTACTTGCAATTTGTTATCCGTAAATTGGCTATAGAAAATGCAGCCATATACTATATGATCATGTTTTATTTACAGAGCATATTTTCTCAGGAAGGTAGAAGAAGAGACTCCAGCTCTTCCCACGTTTTTGGTGCATCGAAAGAATCATTGGTCTCTGGAAAACAGTGAGGAGGGTAAATCCAACCATTTGTAGAACCATGAGCTTTCCAGCAGGATGATCTTATGTTTCCTCCAAAGCCTAGTGTGAGAAAAATATCTTCCAGGTATAATCTTTCACAAGGAGAGTAATCACTGCAAGCAAATTTTATAGCTTCCTCTGTTGCCGAAGTTCCTTTGATACCAATGAAGGATATATTCTCCACTTTGACAGCTGAGGTCTGCATAATGGATGTTAGCTTTTGATACCTTATTTAAACTTCAATTGATTTATTACTAAACTCCATGTCCCTTATCAATATCAAAGGCAAAGTATAAACATATTAGAAATGAGTGTGTACTATGAGCTGGGATCAGCCAACGGAAAAATAATTAGTATTATAACAAAACAAAGAGTGATAGAACATTGTGGCAGGCTAATCCCTGAAAACGTTGCTGGGGAAAATGTTGTACCTGGTTCTGACAAGGATAGGGAGAATCGCAGTAAAACTGGTCTATTATTATTGGGTTTGATACATTCGCCATCACGATATTCTTGAATGTGATCTGGGAAGCAAAACCATCACCACCCTAGTGAAGAAACCAGACAAGTTGATCAGCTTGTGCATCTCTGCGTGACAGAAGAAATGAAAAATGCTTCAATCTCGTAAAGAAGTCTTACCTGCCATGTTTTGATCCTCACTCCATTATCAGTTTGATAAAGATAAGATTCACTAACCATTACGTCTTGTACCTTCTCCCATGTTCCTGATTTTCCTAAGCTTCCAATGCTGAAGAACAGGTTTTTGTATTACTTAACATGTTCATGCTGCTCAATGTAAAAAAGCTTACTCATGAAAAAATGACTTTCACCTGATGCCATGGCCTGGACCACAAGAAATGTTACTGATCTTCACCCGTGAAGAGTTGCTAACTATAGAGATACAATCATCTCCTGACATTAAGCATGATGATGATAGTAAATAATTTTCCTGGATTCAATTACTGATTATAGATAAACATGGTGTTATTCGGTTAGTTCATTGTTCACTTGTATTTGCATTTGCATTTTTTTACCACTCTTTCATCTCCCTGACAGAAACATGGAAGTAACAGTTAGCTGCTTGATTTGAAACAACTGGTTGAGAAGTTAGTAAAATCTATGCATCAAGTAAAAGAATATGCAGAAATCGAAAAGCATGTCATATTCAACCAGTTAGACAGTAAAAACTTATCAGGAAACTACCAGTTCATGAAAATCAATAGAAGATGCTATGTGATGTAAAGATTATAACATACCTGTTCTAATTGAGCTCTCCTTAACCTCTATACCCTTTGTTCTACTAATGTGGATTCCGTCAGTGTTAGGGCTGGAAGCAGGAGCCAAAACCACAAGCTTTGACGCAACAACTCTCATACAGCTAGAGAATGCCATGTGCATCTTTTGGCTATTTAGGATCATAAGGTCTCTGACTTTCAAATTCTTGCATCTATGAAAAGTTATGGCCTGCAGTGTAAATAACTAACTAAGATTTATATTCAGCTGACAGACAGATGACCAAGCGGAAAGTGGTGGAGCAGCACTAACCGTTGGAGCTGGTCGACATGGCTGCCAAAGGAAATTTGGAGTCACTTACAGCTGTACATTCATAACATCTAATTTTTGTTTTAAAGAAGGGACATGAATCTTAAAATAGAAAGGTAGATATACATTTGATGAGTTGGTCTTGCAAGATCTGTCCCACCATTTTTGTCCCATTCCATTGATTTTGCCTCCACCATCTAGAGTAAGATATTTCAAGCCATGGAAGTAAAGCCATTTTCGCGGATTTAAACCATCCCAGACTTCAGGATCTTTGGGGGCAACAATTGTACCTAAGATCTTTCCAATATTTGACAAAGATCATTGAAAGATATAGTTCCAAGAATTGATCTTGAATGTCATTATAAATGTATTCTTGATACATACCTTTAAAGTGATCTTAGATCTGCAATGGCCTCCAAGATCAATCGGATAAATCAGAAATTCCTTTTCAGGGGGGAACAGGATAGTTATTCGTCCAGACATGGCACAAGCAGTTTTCCAAACTTCCTCCAATGCCTGAAAGATGTTGAGAAATGGTTTGATGATATCATGGTGCCTGAAAGCTTAGTTAGCAAGTGCAGATTTCTACCTCGTTTTATCAGAGAAATTTTCAAAGATTTCTCACTTATTGCCAACAAGTAAGAAGACTCAACAACAGGAAAATCAATTATTAAACTCATGAAAATCTCTCATACTCTCTTTTGGGTAAAAATTACTGTTAAGTATTTAAGCACATTGATATACTATGATCAGTATCTCAGATGTTCACATGGCAGTAGATTCCCCAGAAAACCTAAGTTACATGATTTACAGCTAAAGAATACATTTTTCTTAACTCTTAGGTACTAAACACTAATGTTCTCAAAAGTTGCCCTCTTAAGCAACAAAATAAAAATCATTATTTTGAAAAAGGGCGCTGTATCAGAAACGAATAACAAAATGTAGGAAGGTAGAGTTACAGAATGTATCATTACCTTGGTGTCATTATGATGGCCATTCCCTTCTCCCCCATACTGAGCCAAAGAAAGGACCCGTTTATGAGTGAAGCGGGCGGAGACCGACCCGGAGCGTGGAAGCTGTACAACAGCATCGAATCCTTGGATGTGGTTTGTGCGTAGACAAAGAAGAAGAAAATGAAAGGAGATGATTATAAATGGAGAAGATGGAACAGATCTCGGGTTGGTCATTTTTTTGTCAGACCATGTCGGCCGACAGAGGAGGGACCTGGGCGAGAGGGAGACAGTCTTAGATTAATCTCTCTGAGTCCACTCCAACGAACAGCTTCCCGGTCTCGGTGCAGTTAACGGCAGTCTAGTATTCTAGTCCTATAAATAAACAACGGCGAACTCTTTTTATTTTTTGTAAACTTTTGGCAAAAAGAAAAAATTCTCACCATGATAGCCAGAAGATATTGCCCGTGCATTAGTTTTTTAATTGCTGTTTTGCTTTGTTTTTTTGTTTTGCTTTTATTTGTATAAAAGAAAAAATTGTTGCCCGTGCAACACGCACTTAATAAAAAAGTAAGGTTTAAAATTATTTGTGCTCCTTCACTTAAAGCTTTGTGAGCTCTCAATTCAACTGTAGGTAAATTTTATCTTCAACACTAAATATTTTTTCTCTCTTCACTCTATTATCAACTCACTATTCATTCATCATAATGGGCCTTGTATTGCATTTTTTTAATATTTTTTATTCTAAAATATTAGATTAAGGGTTATTTTTATTTCTTAACTTTATGTCAAAAGATTAGTGGGTATCTTGAACTTAAATATTTTATAATAAAAAATATTAAAAAAAATGTAGTGAAGCCTACTAATACTAAATTGACTCATAATTGATGAAGGTGAATAGACAGTTAGAAAATGACAAGATAATAAGAAAAAAAATCTTTAATGTGAATGGATAGAATGGATTTATAATTGAGTTTCGTCCCCAATAGCTTTTCAGATAAAGTTGAATAGCAAAATTGACCTTGAACCCATAAAGACCTACTCTTCCAATACCTCTAACTATTCCATTGGAATTAAGGAGAGATGATTAAATTTAGCACTGTGTAGAATAAACATCTACCCTTATTTAAATGATTTTTATAAACAAAATTTGCAATTCATGCTCTCTCATAATTAATGAGTTGAACTAGGGGATAATATTAAAAAAACATAATTAATATCCCATCAAATATCACATATTAAGGATTAAAATATATTTTTAGAAAAGGCCTATAAAAAAGACTGGAAGGAGTATGTAAAATAAAATTGTGTTTATGTGGTAGAAAGACAATAAAAATTAGTAAATAGATTTAAATTTTATTGACAAGCAGTGATCTTAATGGAAGAGACTATGGTCACTTGAACATATATCTCATGTTCAAATTTGTGTAAATGTAAAAGACGCTTTTGTAAGAGTTATCGTCAATTGGACTCTGATAAAGCTCAAATTTGATATAATTAAATAGCTATATAAAAAGAGGATTTAAATTTTATATTTATAAGGATTTCCTCAAATCATTAATTTATATTAACATGAGCAGAAAAAAATTTTGTTTTTTAAACAAATATTTAGGAAATGGACTAATTTTTATGTATAAAACAAACCTTTCTAAAAAGAAAAAAACTACTGTGATAACAAAACAAAAAAGTTTCTTTTTAGTTTTACTATTATTTTTTAATCATCTAGCTAACGCTATCTCATAGGATAGGGCATTTCATACGCATGTATTTTACAACATTCAACATCCCTCACACAACAAACCGACACACATATTCTCTCTTTTTTAACCACAATAGGGGTTTGATCCTAAAACCTCTTGCTAAGGGAGGACCATAAAGGTATTAAGGTGCCACTAGATAAAAGGGTCATTCATTTTTTTTTTTCAACTTTTTAATTAGAGTTTTTACATTTTCATAATAGGACATAAAAAACAAGAAATGAAAGTAGCAGGAAGGTAACAAAAGTAGAAAAGAGCTTTTGTTTCACTCATTGTACTAATTGTGTGAAGTGATGTCCATAGATCTTTGTCATGATCATTCTTTCTTTCTTTCTACGCTACCTGTTACATGCATGCCAAATTTGTGAATCCTAAACTAGTGTTTCTTTATATATATATATATATATATATTTGATAAATCAAAAGTTTAGATGAATTGAGTGTTGGAGATTCATCAGGGTTAATGTATATTTTTAGATTCAAATAATGTTTACAAAAATATTTATAAATTACCTATCAATTATGTCTTCACATCAACAGTGGGAGAAATTATAAGCTAAATTTTTATCAATTAGACCAATATTTATTAATAGGGTTCTTTGTTTTGTTTTAGAACGAGTCAAAAGCATGTTTTTTTAATGAAGGAAGAAGCAACATAACATAGTAAGATCATGAAACCAAAACAAAAGGAAAAGTTTAGCAGTTAAGGACATTGTGCTATGTTTGTTGCTCTGAATTGAGCATTTTTTGTTTCACATCATTTTCAGACCGTTTTAACTTTTTCTTTAATAACTTCTTATGGTGCGAAACATGGCTAGTATTTATTTAACCTTGTCTTATATCACAAGCTAACCCCTTTTATGATCTTAACAACATTTGCATGACTTTTGTCAGCTGTTAGAAGTCAAACACATTACAAAAATAAAACATCGAGTTTGCGTGCATTGAATTCAAATGCGTTTCTCAAACCCAAAAAAAAAAAAAATTTCAAATATGTTTTTGGGTACTCTAAACGTTCAGAGCCATATTTCTTTAAAATAATAGTAATAATAATAAACACACATGCTTATGTTATAGGGAAAATGACAATTAAGTTCCAAAAGACTAATTTTATACCAGTTAAGTCCCAAGTAATTTTAAAAGGCTAATAAAGTCCCATGCTGTTTTTCACAAATCAGAGTTCTGATAAAAAAGACGAAAATGCCCCTATAATTATTGACTCAAGGAAGCTTTATTCTCTACTGAGTTTGTTTGGATGGTGCGTTTAGACATGTTTTTTTTTTTTTTGCAAATCCCTGCATCTAAACAAAAAAGTTGACTTCATTAAGGTCTAATTTCTTGCAAAACGGCTCTCGTAAGAAAGAAGATGGAACGCTTTTTTGTCACTGAACATGAAAGATTTTTTTTTATTTCACGTCTCTAAAAATTTGGCATGAAGATTCGACATTTTGCAACTGAAAGTGTAAGAATTTATCATCGAGTATCCATATTTTAAGATGGAACGTTCTCACTGTCTCACTGATGCAAAAATCACTTATGTCAAAAGTAACTTATTTCTAAGTGATATATTATTACATTTTAATTTGGTAAGTTTGCAAGTTCAAGAATTAAATAGTTCTTCGATGCAAAATGTCATGTACAAGTTGCAAATTATTCCTAATGAAGTTGCAAAATTTGATGTCTCAGTTGCAAAATACTGAAACGTTGTCCTAAAAGAATAACTCTTGTAAGAATCTAATAGTTTTTCGATTCAAAATTTTGAATACCAGTTGCAAATTGTTCCTAAGGAAGTTGCAAAACTTGGTGTCTCAGTTGCAAATGACTGGAACATTGTCCTAAAAGAATAATTCTTGTAAGAATTTAATAGTTACTCGATCCAAAATATCGAGTACCAGCTCCAAATGCTTCCTAAGGAAGTTGTAAAATTTGGTGTCTCAGTTGTAAATTATTGAAACGTTGTCCTAAAAAATTTAACTTTTCTACAAATTTAATAGTTTTTCGATCCAAAATTTTGAGTACCAGTTGCAAATTATTCCTAAGAAAGTTGCAAAATTGGGTGTTTCAGTTGCAAATTAATGGAATATTGTCCTAAAAGAATAACTCTTGTAAGAATTTAATAGTTCTTCGATCCAACATATCGACTACCAGATGCAAATTGTTCCTAAGAAAGTTGCAAAATTTGATATCTCAGTTGCAAATTACTGGAACATTGTCCTAAAAGATTTAACTTTTCTATGAATTTAATAGTTCTTCGATCCAAAATTTTGAGTACTAGTTGCAAACTATTCCTAAGGAACTTGCAAAATTTGGTGTCTCAGTTGCAAAATACTGAAATGTTATCCTAAAAGAATAACTCTTGTAAGAATTTAATAGTTCTTCGATCCAAAATTTCATTTATAAGTTATAAATTATTCTCAAAGAAGTTCCAAAATTTAGTGTCTCAGTTGCAAATTACTGGAGCCATGTCGTAAAAGATTTAACTCTTGTAGGAATTTAATAGTTCTTCGATCCAAAATTTTGAGTACCAGTTGCAAAATTTTCCTAACGAAGTTGCAAAATTTGGTGTCTCAGTTGCAAATTACTGGAGCTTTATCCTAGAATAATAACTTTTTTAAGAAATTCAATAGTTATTTCACCCAAAATTTTGACAAACAGTTGCAACATTGGCTATATATAATTGATTTGGTTGCTTGTTCAGCTTGCTTGATAGTCACAAAGAGTGTTTTATATCACTTCACTTGTCCTAAAATAATAAGAAAATTAGAAAATTCCATGATTCATTTGTTACATTGAATTGGATCACCATATGATTAAAGTAATATAAGTAACAGCCCAGCTGTTTCAATTGGCAGGAAATACACGTTATATAGATAATTTTTGCCACTCACATTGAATCATTGGCTTCTATAAGACCACTGAATTTTCCTTCATTTTTTTAGAAACTCTTTTTTGAAGTTGTCGTATCCAGACTTCTTTTTTGTTGTAGCTTTCTTGTTGTCCATAATTTCTTAGTGTCTCAGTTGCAAATTACTTTTTTTTGGTCTGCAACAAAAGCAAATGAAATAGATTCAGCCAAATGTTACACCCAAAAACACACCATATACATATACACTGACATGGAATAGTGAACATGTAGGGTAACAGCTTTTAATGGATTAATTAAAACTTTGGCAAATATGAGAGAGGAGAAAGGGGCTAATAGTGGTCATTTTCAAAAACATCAGGCCACTGTGATTATAGATAAGCTAAACGTAAAGGACATGTATACGCAGTGATTACAGTCCCAAGCCACATCATTACAAATATCATCCCAATACAAATGTAAAGAATGCACATACCAAACACCACCTAAAAGATTCTTCATATTTCAATGTATTTCATCATAGTTTGGCTACTATAATCATAAATGGGTAGGGTACCAATGCACATATTATCTCTTGGTGTAACAAACTTAGAACCTCACATAAGAGGAAGCAAAATAAACATAGAAGATTGCCTAAAAGATACAAACAAGAACTGGGTCTTACAAAATGTACTCAAATTGGAAACACCATAGTGATATGCCATATTCTGTTACAAAAATTAACACCTAAATAAAAGCATAAGCCT